TTTTTCTTTGGGATCACCTTCTTATTTAGCTTCTTTAGGATATCAAATTATAGACTCACTGACCTTTATTTATCTCTAGAAACCAATTATGAGTGAGTACATCCCATGTTCATCTTTTTGGGTCTGGGTTACCTCACTCAGGATAGTGTTTTCTATTTCCATCCATTTGCATGCAAAATTCGAGAAGTCATTGTTTTTTACCGCTGAGTAGTATTCTAATGTGTATATATTCCACACTTTCTTCATCCATTCTTCCATTGAAGGACATCTGAGCTCCCAATGTCCCAATGAGGAGCAGAAGGAGGGAGAACATGAGCAAAGAAGTCAGGACCACAAGGGGTGCACCCACCCACTGAGACAGTGGGGCTGATCTATTGGGAGCTCACCAAGGCCAGCTGGACTGTGACTGAAAAAGCATGGGATAAAACTGGACTCTCTGAATATGGTGGACAATGAGGGCTGCTGAGAAGCCAAGGACAGTGGCACTGGGTTTTGATCCTACTTCATGTTCTGGCTTTGTGGGAGCCTAGCCAGTTTGGATGTCCACCTTCCTAGACAAGGATGGAGGGGGGAGGACTTTGGACTTTCCACAGGGCAGGGAACCCTGACTGCTCTTCAGACTGGAGAGGGAGGGGAAGAAGGGTGGGAGGAGGGGGAGGGAAAAGGGAGACAGGGAGGGAAATGGGAGGCATGGAGGAGGGGGAAAAATATTGTAGGTTTGGGAGAGTAAAGAAAAAAAAGATAGTCTTTAAGAGAGAAAGAGAGAGAGAGAGAGAGAGAGAGAGAGAGAGAGAGAGAGAGAGAGTAGTTGGGTATGGTGGCACACACCTTTGATGCCAGCACTTGGGAGTCAGAGGCAGGTGTATCTCTGTGAGTTCAAGGACAGCCAAAATACACAGAGAAAAAAAAATTAAAAAGAAAAGAAATAGATTTTAAAATAAAACCACATAAAGATGGAAAATACACAAAATCTGGATACTGTATGTTATTGTGTTGTCTTTGAATTGATTGACTGCTGGGGAGGAGCAACAGCTGCTAAAAGACATTTGATTATAAATGCTGCTGCATTAATCCGACATATGTATTTTGAAAATGTTTCGACTTCAAAATTTAAGTCAAAGAATATGTTACCTTGGAGAAGAGGTTTTGCTTTTGTTTCTACAGGAAATAAGAGGCTGTGGATTTATTCTGTTAAGAAAAATCAGGTTTGATCAAGAAAGACCCCTTGTGAAATCCCCAATAAGAGATGGCCCAGATGTCTGAGTTCTACATCCAGAACAGCCTCAAGACTGCTGGCAGAGATGATCAAGCCTCACAGAATATTTGTCAGGACTTGACCATAATTATCAAGATTATCAGCACCCCCAACCAGCAGGAAGTAGCCTGGAAAGCTACGCCCACATTCCCCCCCCAAAATGGATTATGGATGTTTGCCTCTGCTACAAATTATTATGGATAATGGTCAGGAAAAAAAGCTAAATAGAGATTAGATTCAGAGGTCTTGTTTTTTAAAAAAGGGGAGGGGAGTACTGTGGGTCAGTGATCTTATATCCTGTAAAGGTTTGTCAGTTGTACTGGTTTAAGAAAATGTTGATTGGCCAGTAGCCAGGCCGGAAGTATAGGTGGGTCAACCAGAACAAGAGAATTCTGGGAAGGGAAAAGGCTCAGTTTTCAGTCGTCACCCAGTCAGAGCGGAAGCAACATAAGAATGCCTTGCTGAGAAAAGGAACCAAGCCAAGTGGCTAACACAGACAAGAATTATGGGCTAATGTAAATTATAGGAGTCCGTAAGACACCTGAGCTAATAGACCAACCAGTGTATATTTAATGTAGACCTCTGTGTTTATTTGGGACTGAATGGCTGCAGGGTCGGGCAGGACAGAAACCTCTGTCAACAGCCCGCCACAGACAAGGGAGACGACCCTCATCTTACCATCTGCACCTCTCCAGAAAGTAGGCCCTGTTCCTTGCCATCGTGGAGCTGACTCTGTTGACAGAGTCAAGGGTGAGGTACCCCTGAGTGGGATAGCTGGCCATACACCCCTCATCTGCCATGCGGCGGTGAGGATGAGGGATAGGTGTCCTCCCCTCTTTTACCCTGCCACTCGGGAAAGTGAACCATCTACCTCACATGGGCAGCACAGTCGACCTGACCCTGCTGGCACTGAAGGTGTGCGTGAGCCAGCCCCGAAGTTGTGAACACAGGAGAGCAGTTCCCATTGGGCATCTGTTATGTGCCAGCGTGGGCAGAGAGAGATGCCCCGCCCACTTGCCCATCAGTGCCTGAGGCAGGTGGAAGAGCTGGGCCTGAGGTCATAGAGCTGTTCCTGCCTCTCATCAGGTGCAGCACTGGGGAGAGCGGCCCCTATACCTCACCTGGGCAACGCAGAGCTGCCCCTGAAGGTGTTGGCGTGGGAGAACTGCCGACCCTGAGGGTGTGAAAGCAGGAGAACCAACCCCACCCCTTACTCATCACTGCAAGGGGTGAACTCGGCAGGGCAATGCTGCTCACCCTGGCAGCGAAGACGGAAGAGCTCGTAGGCTGACCAACCCTGCAGTTAAGTACCCACTCCCAGAACCAGGGTTATGTGTAGCCCACCTCAACATCCACCCCTTCTGTGATCTGCTAGAGCACAGGTGTGGCGGGGGGGGGTGTAGTGTGTTGGTCCCGTGGAACCAGGGCTGCAGGATCCTCAAAGGGCAGCAACTGGATGCCCAGGACGAGTCCCAGTGTGGGCCCAGTGTCGAGGATGTGTAGAAGAGACTAGAAGCCTTGAACCAGACAAATGAGTCTTTATGATAAATGTCTGCATACAAATATGGACAGATAAAGGGGTTTACCGCGTGACTCACTGTGTCACACTGCGGCTTCTATGACAGGATTTTCCCCTTTCTTTTCCAGATTTTATTTTGGCGGGGGGTGGGGCGAGGAATTGGTGGGATCAGGAGGCATGATGTGAAAGACAAAAGAATAAATAAAAAATCAAAGATCAAAATATTAGATGAATTCCATCAAATATTCAAATTACTCAGTAAGATTAAAAAAGCAAAATTAGATTTAAGACCCACACTGGAGCACTGGACTGAGCTCCCAAGGTCCCAATGAGGAGCGAAAGGAGGGAGAACATGAGCAAGGATGTCAGGACCATGAGGGGTGCACCCATCCACTGAGACAGTGGGGCTGATCTATTGGGAGCTCACCAAGGCCAGCTGGACTGTGACTGAAAAAGCATGGGATAAAACCGGACTCTCTGAACATGGCGAACAATGAGGGCTGATGAGAAGCCAAGGTCAATGGCAAGGGGTTCTGATCCTACTTCATGTTCCGGCTTGGTGGGAGCCTAGCCAGTTTGGATGTTCACCTTCCTAGACATGGCAGGGAACCCTGACTGCTCTTTGGACTGGAGAGGGAGGGGGAGAGGAGTGGGGGGAGGGGGAGAAAGGTGGGAGGAGGGGGAGGGAAATGGGAGGCTGGGAGGAGGCGGAAACTTTTTTTTCCTTTTCTCAATAAAAAAAGCAAAATTAAAACATTAAATAATACTTTTTATTGAAATGTTTATAAGGCATATCTAGGAGAATGACAAAATTATGGCATACAATTTGTTCAAACAATATTTTATAGGACACAGGCCATTAGCAAAAATGAATACACACAACGGAAATTTGTACAAAGAAAATCATACAAGCCAATACAAAATTGCTAATGAAAGAAAAAGGCAAAAAAAGTTTATTGTAATATTAACAATAGAATATTAATTTAATGTAAACTGTACGTTATTATTTAAAATCTTTTGAAAGCATCATTACAAATCTAACCTACTCTAGAATGCTAAATTAATATTGTGACAAAGACTGGGAAGGATAAAATTGAGATTTCTCAGAAAACAGAAAGTCAAAGTTAGAATTGTTTAAACACAGGAAGCAGCGGGGAGTTGTCTGTTTTCTAGTAGCCTTGATTCTGCCTCTGAGTGTTGCCTTGACCCTCTGGGGACAGATGTTTATCCACAACCTCATTAGTCCGACGGAAGGGGCCAGAAAGAACACATGCCGCTTCCCTGCTAGTCCTCAGAGCCCGGCACTCATCACATCACAGGGACCAGTCACAGGGACACCTCGCTCCAAGGGGTGTGAACAGCAGTCAGCAGCTCGGGAGTGGGGAAAGCAGGCGCGAAGGATGAACACGCGCGCAGCTGTGAAGATCTTCGGAAGGAAATCCCTGTGAGAATGCTTCCTGCAAGTAGGCCACTGTACCAGCTTTTGTGAGGAGCGACCCTAAGCTACTGGGAAGTCTCCTGGTCTGCCTTCACTGTGGATCTGTGCAGGGGAAATACGGTGATTTGTAAAGTGAAAAGTCAGCCCAGCAATTCCTAGAACGCATGTTGGGCTCAACAGAATCCCTGTTTTAGCAACATAGGACTGGAACCCCGGGAAATTAAACACGTCACAATTCTGTCGCATCAAAAGTACGGGAGAACCTGTTCGCTCCTGTGACGTTCAGAACAGAATCACTACCTTTCATTTCAGGTGATCACAAAGATTGAATAGACGCCAGGATTTGTCCCACTGCGTTCTGCACCGTGCAGGGGTGAGCGACTGTAACACGGGACTGAGGTATGTTACACATGCGACATTGTTTTATCGTGAATTTACAAAGCAATTTCTACTTTACTCTGCTTGCCCGTTTCAGAGCAGCACTTCGTAGACTGACACGGTATAATCAGCTGCTTACAGTAGAGTTATGAATACATTTAGAGTAGCTATATTTTAAATGCCATGTGAAATACTTACATTTTATAAATAAAGCTTATTAGGGGAGGGAACACTATAGAATAATTACGAAATAGCTTAATGGCATAAAAATTTAAATGAAGACTTTTGTCATATTACATAAGAGATAAATAATAGAAAAAGTATATATGTGTATATATACATACATATATATGTATGTATATATATATATTGGATTTTTGAGACAGGGTCTCTTTACATAGCTCTGACTGCCCTGGAACTCACTATGTACATCAGGTTGAATATATTTGTGAATAAAAAATAATTTTTATAATTTGAATGTAAGTAGGAACATATTTTTATCATTATCAAATTAATTTTGAAAGTAAAATTCTTTAGTCAATTTGAAGTTAAGCTAATTTATAAGAAAATAATTAGGTAGTTTAGCATGAACTCATCAGCCACCTTCTGTATTATACAAAATAATTATTTCTGATAAATAATCATAATTTTATTCATGCTCAATGTTTTAGAATTTAAATAAAAAGCTCATGTAGATTACCTGAGCTAAATTTCAGCATATTTTCTTTTTAAAAGATGCTAATATGATTACGTTTATATTAAAATGTGGTTTTAAATATTCCTAATAAAGGAGACATGAAATCTGAAGAAAGGCTAAGTAGCATGATACATGTTATGAGTTTTTTTCCTCATAGGAAAAGCTATTTGACTGTCTTTACAAAGGATGAAGACAGATTATACTTTCTACATTCCTATCATTTTCTCACTCATCCGTCTCAAACCATACGTTAGTAAACAAAGTTTTGCTCCTCTTTAAAACCTCCACCCCTAAAAATTTAAAATGGTATTTCCTTTACTGTGTGTGTGTGTGTGTGTGTGTGCGTGTGAGAGAGAGAGAGAGAGAGAGAGAGAGAGAGAGAGAGAGAGAGAGAGAGAGAGAGAGAGGGGCAGCAGGAGGGAGATGAGAACACGGGTGTGCATGTCACGTCCAAGGACAGCTCGCAGGAGCAGTGCCGACCCCACATTCGTGGTGGGGGGCAGACACAGTCAGCCATCAGGCTCCCTACAGGCGCCCCACCCACCGAGACGCCTCACTAGGCCGGCTCTTTAAGTGGTACTCTCCTGCCACCTCCTCACTTTTGTCAACCACAAAATTCAGCCTACTTCTGAAGCCAGAAAAAAATGCCTTTAGGGGAAATTCATAAAAAGAAAAATTACAGAAGTAGTAAATCAAGCAACCAAACGCCAATAAACTGATATGTTTTGTGAGAGAGGCCTTTAAACATTTAGAATTGTAATGACGGTACTACACTTATTCTAGAACTAATAATTATCCCATTGTTTGTAGCATTCCGAGAAAAAGTGTCATTCGAAATATATTTGTAGCCTTTATGTAATTTTATATTCCCAAAAGTCCTATGTATGTATAATAGCAGTCACTTTATGTTATGGGCTACCTAACCTATATGACAATGTAGTTAATCACCTAACTTTTAGAAATATTTCGCTGTATTTTCACACTAGATTGTCGTAGAGTGAAGTTTAAGAAGTAAGCAAGGATTGAAAACGCATTGCTACTTCCATTAGCTCATGGCAGCACCGGTGTGTGCATGATCGGATCTACTCAGACACAGTCTCAGGGGAGCTCTGGCTGTCCTGGAACTCACTCTAGACCAGGCTGACCTGCGCTTCCCTCCCGAGAGCTGGGATTCAAGTTGTGCGCCACCACACCCAGCTTGTAGGGATTTACTGTTAAAAAGCCATCGCTATACTGAATTCCTACTAAGAATTAATGACTATGATCAATAGAATGGAAATGGAGTGTTCAATATTACAGTTCACCAAGGAATCATTGAAGAATTAGTGGCTGATTTCCCAGACTAACAATGCAGGGATAGAACACTGGAGGGAAAGACAGGTTCCCACAAAAATAAGTCATTTTATTTTTGATGGTTGGATTCGGGTCAGTAGGTAACTTTGGAAATGGTACAATTTTAGGAAGAATACACACAATGACATCGCTTTTCTAACCTTGTACTATGATGCATAAGGAACAAATGGAGAAAATGTGGTATATCCCAAAGTTTGAACAAAATGCAATCCACACATGGAAGACTAGTACTGAGAAATTCTAAGAATAATCTATAAGCTTCTAAGTCTCTGGAGTGGATGTGTAATTAGCCGCTTGTCCTGTTGTCCTGCATGCTCGTAAACTGCTTCCTAAGGAATGGTAGTGAAGGCAGGAAGACGTCCCAGGAAGAGCAAAGGGCATGGCCGCCTGATGGGAACGTCTGAAGAGCTGCAGGACCCCAACAGTTCGTCCACACTGTCCGGATCCTCTCCCCACACAGCCCTTCACTGCACAGGGAGGTGCTGCACGACTGTGGGTTCCCAGGCAATAATAAAATTGGGATTAAACATACATCTATATATCTGTTGATGCACACAACATACGCTAAAGACTGCCAATGGCTGTACAAGCGAGGACACATCTCGCTTGACACCATGAACGCAGTGCACGGAGATAGGGCAGGGGTTGTATATCCTGATGTCTCATAAAGCAACGGCTTCTGCAGGGTGACTACCTGGCCATGACTGCTCTCCCCCCCCCCCCCCCCCCGCCATCTAATCACCATGGGGACTTAGGCAAACTGAACTTTTCTATCCTTTCAGTTTCCCTATACATAAAACGAAGATGATAGAACCATTTCACAGGTTGGTATAAATACTAAAGGGGACAAGACAAATGTCCAGAACCATGCCACATTCCCTCAGTGAACACCAATAAAGTCCTGCTCAGAAGACAGGCCAAAGAAGCAAAGACGCACGGACGTGCGACGTGCAAACCTGGCTCTCACTGCACTGAAGGACAGTGCTACAGTTCCTGGGGCTGGGACTCTACTCGAAACAACAGCTTGGGAATCAAGTCATTGAGTCTTCCCTGATTGACGCATCTATGAAAACGACACTGCTCCGTAACGTAAGAGGACAAAGCTCCCATGAGCTGTGCGTTAGCAGCATCCACTCCATGCCTGCAGTGCACTTTAACTACGATTTCGGGTTTGTCTGTAACGTGTGTGTGCTCACATTCTCTCGCAGCTTTGTGTAATGGATGGCATCTTTCCAGTTCCATCTGATGAAGGTGTAAGATTGCTCCCGTGCACCCTACATACTATTATGGTATGCATTTCTGCTTCTTAATGTGGATAATAATTAAAATCTTTAGCCTCAGGGATAAAGCATACCCACTCAGTAATACTGCAAGTTTCAAATTCTGCTGGTTCGCCAAGTATTCCAAATGTTCTATATGATCAGCTACAAATATTTCTGCCTGGTTGTGCAATATAGTTAAAATAATGATTCCGCTACGGTTGCAGAAAACATTCCTAGGTTGGAACAATACAAGTGGGCTACAAAATTTCATGTTGGCAAAATATGACACTTAGAAAAATTAACTTGGAGAAAACCCTTTCCCCTTTCCCCGTTCAGCTGACACCTCGCTGCCAGGTTTCCTACTGCAGCAGACGGACAGTCCACGTGCAGGGAGCGTGGAGGGGGCGTACATGATGGCATGAGCGGAGGTGGGTACTGTCCGTGAGCACCCCTTCTCCTCACATCACGGTGACCCTCTCTGGGGACAGATGAGGAACTGTTCCTCCCAGGCCTTCTTCTAGAAACTGGCTCTTTTCCCAGCCCTTCTTGATTCTTTTTAGCTTTCGGCTTATGCACGGGAGGAGTAAAATCATCTTCCCCACAATTACAACCGAGGGTAAGACAAGGGCCAGGACGAAGTTTGGCGGTGTGTAAAAGCGGTAGTATTCTTCGGCAAAGGCGCGTTTCCATCCGTAGATTAACACGTGGAAAGTACTGATGAGCAGAGCGACGTAGCCGAGCGTAGACTTGAGGCAGAGGAAGGAAAGGAGATACATTACTCTCCACATAGCAACCTACGCAGATACACTGTTTATGTTTTAACCTTGGGACTGACCTGCTATCACGTAAATTAAGCAATTTAAGACAGTTTCACAAATTTCATAAGCACTTATCTACAGTGCTCCAGTCTTGCACACAGCAGACCACAGTGCACACACTGACTAGTCTCATTAGTCAATCTCGTTTACACAAGCATTTCTTATGCCATTAAAAATAAAAGCATACCATTAACATTGTGTAATGTTTTATTGAATGGCTGTGTATAATCATGCCTTTGCGTAGAGCACTCTGATCCCAAACTTATTCAACCATAAACCGTACCTTTTATATTTTGGTTTATGTTGGTTTATTTATTTAGGGCTGATTCTGCGGCTGGGCTCACTGATCAGCACGTCTAGCTTTTCTCTAATGGTGCAGACGTGCATGGTGTCCACATGCTTTGCAGCTGTCACGGTGGCGCATCTGCAACCTCAGCACGAGGAAGGACAAGGAGAGAGGATTGCAAATCCAATGCCAGCCTGATCTACATCGTGATTCTGAGGCCAGCCTGGGCTATATAGCGAAACTCTGCCACAAACAAATAATCAAAATAGTGGTGGGGGTTATCCACCACTACTGTGTATAAAACCATGGCAGTGTGTGTGTAGGTACAGACAGGTATGTGCACAAACATATACCACCACATTAAATACCAAAGAGTGATCGTTTGAGAATGCACATAATGGTCTTACATGGATACTAGTTAATAAGAAAATATGGTAAGACTAGTAACAATTCAAGCATGTGGGTACTGACCACAGTAAATTAATGACTAAAAACAGTAGTTTAGTCAGTCATTTATAGGTTAAGCGATTACTTTCACTTCTCTAAGTGACTATGTTTAAGGTTACTTACTTTGACAACTAGTTTACAGCACAGAAAACTAACAGTCAGTCCATCAGTATAGTGATGTAATATCTGAGTTCACTAGGAAAATGAGATGCTCGTAACTCGTCGTCCAGCTTTGTGATGCTGGGTGTCTGGCCGGAGCCTCCCATCAGAAAGCCTTCTCTTTTCTTTCAGGTGTGTAACTAGGGGTTGGGAAACTGCCCAGTCTCCTTTCTTCAAAGGGAGAAAATGAATTTGGACAAGGATTGTCTTTCATTTGAATAAGATGTTTGCATGACTGTGAAAAATGGGTGAGCTGGAGGGAAGTAGCAGGGAGTAGATATAAGAAAAATACATTATATACAACTTGGCTCTTTAAAAAAATATATATAAATATTCTTTAAAAATTTCCTCAGGCTGAGCGGTCGTGGCATATGCCTTTAATCCCAGCACTCAGGAGGCAGAGGCAGGCAGATCTCTGTGAGTTCGAGGTCAGCCTGGTCTACAAGAGTTAGTTCCAGGAATGGCTCCATAGCTACTGAGAAACCTTGTTTCAAAAAACCTGAAAAAGAAAAAAAATTTCCTCAAGCAACCAAGCACTTGGGAGGTAGAGGCAGGTAGATCTCTCTGAGTTTCAGGTCAGCCTGGTCTACAGAGCAAGGTCCAAGACAGCCAATACCACATAGAGAAACCCTGTCATAATACCTCCCTGATCCTCTGGAAAAAACAAACAAACAAACAAACAAACAAACAAACAGACAAACACATTGCTAGGCAAGGAATAAAATAAAACAGTACGATCAAACGACTCTACTATATATATTGTATATATTGTGCTATATACCATTTGGATCAGAAAGTACAATTTGTGACCATATCACTAGAATCCAAATTTTATATATATTTAAAATACGTGAAGATGTTATACAGATATTAATGGAGGCTAACATTTAACCTTTTAAAGAACACAAGTGTTCTTTGATTTCTTGGGCACTGATTTAAGACTGACATAGTAGAACATTAACAAGGCTCACAGATGCAGCTGGCTGTCACAACCCGTTAGCATCATTATCTAGTTTAACTGCGTTTGTGATCGCGTATGTGCATGTGAGTTCATTTCACTAGTAATAAACCGACGTTTCGGGACTGGAGAAATGGCTCAGAGGACCTCATTTGATTTTTAATACCCACACGGTGGCTCACAACTGGTCCAAACCTTCATTCCAGTAGATCTGACATCTTCTGACCTTTGTGAGCACAATGTACACATGTTACACAGATAAACACGTGAGCAAAACGCTCATCGAAGTAAATCTTTTTTTAAAAAAATAAATCAAAGTAAATTGACTTTGAACATTAAATTTGACCTAAGCCCATTTCTCTCCTTTCATTCCATAACATAACAGACATGGCTCTGATGTCCTTCTAAGGCCTTTCCGTTTCTAACCAGGATATATAGTCTGGCCTCCAGCCATGTGTGCTGCCGAAACTGGATGGGCAGCTATGACCTCAAAGGCACTCTTTTGAGATGGAGCAAATTTAACATTGAACTTAACAGTGAAATTCTATGCTGTCCGATGTGTTACCAAACAAAACCCCAACATACCTGAATAAAACTGAATTCCCTCCAGTTTAAGGCGTTGCTCACTGAAGGGATTGAAGTGACTGCCAGGAGGGACAGTAAGCCCAGGCTCATGATGCCAAAGGAGATGTACATTTCAATTCTCCAAACCTCTTCCTCATTCCAGGCATTTTCAATATTTGCATGAACCTAACAAGAAAAGAAATGTGAGTTTCCTTTACTTCACGGACTTCTACGCACCGCTTATTCTTGGCCTAAAAAGAACCAGGCCACTTTTGACTATGTTTAAGACTAGGAGTGTTCATTCAACATAAGGAACCATTGTGGAGAATCTGCTCTTAGTGTTATCCCAGATGTAGAGAAAGGGGAAGAGAGTGTTAAATCAAAACAGGACAAAGAGTCCCCCACTTCTTCCAGCATGTAAAGAGGGGAACAAACCCTGTCCAAACTGAGTCACTACTGCAGAGGCCCTGAGCCCAAGGCCACGGAACACCAACTGACTGGTTCTCAAGTGTCGTCAGATGCCAGGATGCTTTTTCAGGTTCATATACATGCAGCTGATGTGTGGGGTATGTTCTACGATGTTTAACTAGGGCTTCTACACTGTCTTCTTCTTCACCCAGTGTCTATGCCTCTTTCTTTACCCTTCCCTCCTGGAAACCAACATTGCTTCAGGATAAGGTGGTGTGGAGCTGAACTCGGCCCACTTGAACGACTCACAAACAGACCTTCCCAACTCCCAAATGCTTCTTCCATTTGCAGTGTTTTTCTCCAAATCCTACCCGTATGTGGCTACTGCATATTAATCAAGTCTGACCTAACTGTGAATTTCTGGCAATTTGCAGAGTGAATGCTTCTAGTATTATCTGTTTACCTATAGAGAATACAATTAGGGCATAAGTTAAGAGTTGGACTCCTTCCACTGAAGATTTGATTTAAGTGTGTACCTATGATGGAGAAAAAGCACATTTTTATTTACCATCTCAACTCTGTCCAGTTTCAGTTAACAAGGCATAGTCATATTTAAAAAAAAAAAAAAAGCTACTCCCACCAACATCGCAAAAGAGCTCCTGAGCTTCTATGCTGAAAAAGCTCTAGCCAAATTCCTGGCCACTGAGTGTGGTGGTTCATTCCTTTAATCCTAGCACTCAAGAGGCAGAGGCATGCAGGTCTCCGTGAGTTCATGACCAGCCTGGTTTATATAGCAAGTTCCAGGCCAGTGAGGGCTACATAGTGAGACCCTGTCTCAAACAAAACAACCCCCCACAAAACATACTTCTCTCCAATATCAGCCCAGCTATCCAGAGGAGCAGCAGATGCTGATATATAGAGAGACCCTGTGTCAAAAAACAAAAACAAAAACAAAAACAGTACTTCTGCTCCCTAAATATCCCCAGAGAAAAATGCCGTTAAGTACATATAAATTCACACTGTCGTAACTCAGATTTTACAGTTCCTAAGGTAGGCCGCTAGAGCCAGATGAGTAACAAGCATGTGCAGTACCTGCTGATAAGCCATGTTGAGAAACAAGTATCTTTCTGACCTTCTCATCGGCAAGCAGAGGCTGTAGGCCACATGGACAACAGCAAAGAAAAAGCCCAGCAGTCCCAGCTGCTTCCTGCACTGCAGCCAGGTATCCAGCCACGGTGGGAATCTGCGGTACTTGGTGCCGTAGTAAAGCTGGTACGTAGCTGCCAGGAGGCCTGCCAGGTACACCAGGGACAGCAAAGTAATGGCGACGATAGGCAAGGTTTTGTTCACAATCTCAATAGGAATCTTGTAAAAGTCACTCTGCTGGTTCTGGGCATATGGATGTATCACATCTCTGACAAAGGAATAAAGGAAGAAAAATGTGGCCAGGCTTATGGCTACGACCACTGGTCCCCTCCAGAGAGTAAACAGTCGCAGGGGTAAATTTTCAATCTCCTTGGCTGACGATAAGGATCCCAGGTCAACAGGAATAAAATTCAATTGACGGGCAAGTTCAATGACCTGCTGCCGAGCCTGGATGTTGTTGCTGCATATATAGACCTGTAAGAAAACCCAAAAGGCTTGTTACCGCCGCTGTTTGTAGAAGTCGCAAACTGTCCTCTATCTGTGGTGCCTTCTTTAATAGCTGCTAACAATGCCAGAAAATGAAGACGAGAAAAGGGGATTATTACCTGTAAGTTATTAAACAGACAAATACTACCATAGGTATTGTTTTAAAACAGTATCTTAACAATGAATTAATCAATCAAAAGTACCACATTATGGTTAGATATATTAGTATCTTAAAAGACAGACTTAGAACAGTGCCATAAAAGCACAAAAGTGTTTACCCCGCGATGAAAAAGTGCAGAGAACCTAGCTGCAACCCGGAAGGCGCAGAGAGGTTCTCACGAGAGGGAGGCTGCTGGAGAAGGTCTGCTTTCTGGGGCACGTGGGTCAGCAGCAGCTGAAAAGGAAGGCATACCCCTCCCCAGGGGTCTCTGTGGCCATCTCCTCCCAACCCAGCTTTCTAAGTGTGAGGCCGGATCTCCTTGCTTCTGTGGGCACCTTTTAGTTCTAGGAATGTAGAGACTCTGCCTCAGAGAGCGACGGAAAGCACGGCCCTTCACAGCGATCCAGCCAGTGTGCAGACGGGCACGGGCTCCAGGGGTGGCCTTCTCAAGTAAAAGGTACAAATTGTGTCGTGATGCCGGACCCCTTATAACATCTATCTTTAGGTTGAGAGGTCAATTCACTGAGTATCTGTAAACACTTGAATAATTCCAGGTACACTGTTTTATTGATGAGCATATAAAACTTTTTCCTTTTTTGATAATTCTTCACAAGTAAAACGATGATTCGGTCAGGCTACTGCCTTAAACATCATGAGCCTGCCATTTTCTAAGAATAAACACATCATCTCTATAGGAGGAACTCTAATGATGTCGTAGGTAGGGTGAGGAGGCCGTCATCTCTACAGGAACTCTAATGATGTCGTAGGTAGGGTGAGGAGGCCATCATCTCTATAGGAACTCTAATGATGTCGTAGGTAGGGTGAGCAGGCTGTGATGTCACAGCTAGGGTGAGGAGGCCGTCATCTCTATAGGAACTCTAATGATGTCACAGGTAGGGTGAGGAGGCTGTCATCTCTATAGGAACTCTAATGATGTCGTAGGTAAAGGTGAGGAGGCTTTGAAACCCCTCTGATACTGGGATATAGTAAAAAAATTCAACAAGTCTCTGTTGCTGCAAGTTCAGTGCTGGAGTGAGCTACTACTATGAACAGGAAGATCATCTCACTACGAGCCAGAAAAATATTGATACAAAGTGTAGTTTGAGGAAAACAAGTTTCCAGATATACCCTGAAGATGTCTGTGCACAGGCTCTGAACGAGGCCATATGGAAGTGTTTGCCTGCTAAACCTGTTTACACGAAGGAATCAATACGGAGCCCAGCTTTCAGGCTTTGACTCTCAGCTGACGGTAGCCAGCTTTATGAACTAATGATAAACTCGGTGCTGGTAAACAAATATGGATTTCCAAAATGGGAGCTCTTTTATAGCAAAGAAATAAGAAAAACATATTAATTTATTGCCGAGAAATGGTGGAACAAACCCTTTTTTCCTACATGGAGAAAAGTCTATAAATAATAACATTATAATGACCCTTTTTCTTATTTGAGAAAAGCCTATAAATGATAACGTATTATAATAACTCTAGAGCTATAAGTGAAGCATTCAAAACTGATGACTGCTCGTCATCCAGCCATGATGAAGTACCAATTATCTGGCTCTTGTCATGATGGAACTTGTAGCTCATTCTGAATTTGAATTTAATCACTGTTCCATGAGGGTTTTCCATTAAAAATTAAAATGATCATGAGTATGAGCAAGGGATTATGTCAACTTTGTCTCAGAGGCCCTGGCTCAAATGTGCCAATTTTATAGGATATGTTCCTTAAAAAGAAAGGAAAAACTGTTTCTAGAAGTGGGAGTGGGGTCCACGATCAGGTCCCTGATCTGATCTCTAACACAGAGGGATGGGGAAAGCATGTACTGCTTTAAATACTTGAGTCGGGTGTGGTGGCTTATGACTGTAAATCTCCGTCTTTGGGAAAGCGCCACAAGGTGGAGGCCAGAGTGAACCAAAGTATGAGACTGTCTCAAAAAACTGAAAGCAAGAAGAGGGAGGTAGGGAGGGAGAAGGAGGAAGGGAGGAGGGAGGGAGGGAAGGAGGGAGGAAGACAGACAGACAGACAGACAGACAGACTTGAAGTGGGCAGTTACTGTAATGGCCAGTCTTGTCAACGTGCTTGAACCTGAAATCACTAAGGGAAGGCGATGCGCACTTCCAGATGCAGTGAGGGTTAACCAGGGAGGAAAAGACTCACCCTGAAGGGTGGGTCAACCATCCCATGGGCTGGGGGCCAGGATGAATAAAAGGAGAAAGGAGGGAGCCAGCAGGCTGGTGGCATCACCCTTTCTTTGCGTTCTGCCCTCTACTGCATGAACAGCTCTGCTCCATCGTTCTTCCCCAGCACGATGGACTGAGCCCTCTGAAACTGTGAGCAAAGTAAATCTTTCTCACTTAAGTCCAGGCACTCGTGTCATAGTAGTAACAGGTACTCAATATGGAGTTCATGACCCTAACACATAGAGTAAAATGATCAAACATTCACCGTGTAAGAAATGGACTTGACTGTCTTTTTAAAAGATCTGTTGTGTGTGTTTGTGCACACGAGGGTAGTTGTCCTTGCAGAGGCCTGGAGTTGGAGCTACAGGGAGTTGTGAGTTACCCAGTGTGGGTGCTGAGACCCAAACTCCTGTCCTCTGCAAGAAGAACAGTACTTTCTCTAAACTGCTGAGCCATCTCTCCAACCCCATAATTGTCTCTAGGAGTGAAAATGAAAAGGTCCTTTTCCCACAACCCTCAGATGCCTTTGAACTTGGTAATTCAAGGCCACACATACCTGGCGGCTGGCATCCTTGGGCCCTAACTGAAGAGCCCAAGCTGAGATGACATTAAATCCTTTGACAATCAGCGAGTCCGGGAAGAGCGAAGCCAGGTACTCGGCATTGGACTCTGGGTACTGATTTACCCTCATGTTGTTGCTGACGTCAATCAGGATTTTGCCCACAAGCAGGTGTCTCAGGTCCCACAAGGAGGTGTAATGTTCTCTATGGATGGCCACAAATATTATATTTGTCTTTGTTAATGCGTCTTCATGGTGGGTGACATCCACCACATGAGGAAAAAATTCAGACGCAAACTTCGGATTTCTGCTCCCTATGACCACGTGGTAGCCACACCTAATAAGCCGAATGGTCAGAGACTTGGCGAAATCCCCACTTCCTATCACGCCCACAGTGACCTTCCTGGCATCTTTGATGCCATTTATGCCGTTAGGCAAAAAAGTCTCCAGGCTCTTGGGGCTTCCCATCATAGAGATGGATTCCATGGCGGAAACGCTTCTAAGCTCTCCAGAAATGTCCTAGAGGAGAGAAAAGAAAATGTTCACCAATTAAGCCTACTGACAAACACTAAGACACCTCTAGACACTGTAATTATGTTCTGCATCTCTAAAGGCAAAATATTTTGACATGCTATATAACCCAGAACACAGCAAGCACAATCTGGAAGCGAGAGATCTCTAAATAGAGAAATGAACACAGAGGTGATTAGCTAGGCAAGTTCACACAGATAACCTGGGAACCTTAAGTGTGGATTCTCACTCAGCCAGTCTGGAGGAAGGTTCATGTGAGTCTGCATTTCCAAAACACTGGTGTGGATGCTGCTGGGCTACGGATGCACCCATGTGTAGCAAGGCTTCCGGCAAAGGAGGACTTTCACTCGATGTTTGTCAGAAACAGTTCTAGCAAGCAGGAGCTGGACACACCAGGTGGCAAATCAGAAATGACACCAGAAGCAAAGGAAAGAACCTTGATACCAAGAGATAACTTTTTAAAAAAAATCCATAAAACAAATTTCTGTGCTATTACAACCAAAATGCACAGTCATTTGGGGGTCGAGTCTATGAACCATCTGGTATACCCGATTAACTACAGCTTTTTAAAGGCAAACTAAAATAAAAAAGACACAGTAAAATTAATACCGTCACTTGAACTATGCTGAAAAACAGGCATCAAAACCTACTGAAGAGCCAGGCATGGTGGCACACGTCTTAATCCCAGCAATCAGGAGGCAGAGACAGATGGATCTATATGGGGCCAGCCTGGTCTATGTGGTGAGTTCCAAGGCCAATCAGGGCTATATAGTGAGACCCTGTCTTAAATTAAAAAAAAAAATAAATAAGAAAAAGAAAAAAAGAAAAGAGAAAAACCAAACAAAAACCTGCCAAAGGAATAATTAACCACCACAGATATCTTATCATTTGCCCCATATGTAGAAGGGTTTAGTCGTGTTTATGGGCTCAAATACACAGCATGTGTCTTCTCATTTTCTCTCCCAGCCACTGACTCGGGAGACTATGATGCAGTTACCCTCCCCGGGGGGGGGGGGGGGCTGTCAGGTTATTATTTTTTTTTTTATTGAAGTGACTGAAGTTTCTATCTGTGACAACTCGCTCACTCGCACAGGTCACATCCGTGTCTGATGTCCGCATCAGTGACGCATAAGCCATGCGTCAGGGTCGCTGCTGGCGCAAAGGAAAAATGCTACCCCATCTCTCCCCACCTTGCAATCTCATTCACATTAACAGCAAATACAGATCACTGCAGAAGTTAATGGACTTTACAGGCCCGAGTGGAATGTTTCGAAACGTGGACTTTTTTTTTTTTCCCGGTTTTCGTTTTTTACTAAATAAAATGTTTGAAGATAGGAAAGCTCAACTCTCCTAGCAATAATAGATCATACCCAATGACCCTGAATAGATCCATAAACTAAATTTTAGAAGAACAACACTGATATTAATATGGCTTAATTCTTAAATAGTACAGGTTCCAGCTCTGTTTGGTATTTTACATGTTAATCAAATCCATACAACTGCCCTGATGAAGTAGGGGCTATTATAATGCCTATTTGCAGAGGACACAGAAATAGATGCCATCAATTTGTCCAGCGTTGCCTGAGAACACGGAAAGCCAGGGTTAGAATGCCGAGGAAGGCGTGTGCCATTGGGGTGGATGTGAGGGGTATCTAAAAGGCTGGGTGTTTCGGCAGCTGCTGCTGCTAGCTGAGAACCGGCTAAGGGGACAGAGTGGAGCAGTCATGTTCGTATTTGTGACACTCTTTGACTATCTCTCTGCTCTCCAGCATTACTTACTGATTTTAACGTCTAACCTAGGTGAGCGGGGAAAATTCCCCGTCTTTACATCTATCACACGCCTCCTTTCACTCCTTTTAAGTCAGGAACGGTAATTATGCTCTCAGACCGTCCTAGGCAACCACGTACTGCAAAGCCATCCTCACATTCCCGGAAGGCCCAAGGAATCAGAAGTTAAAGGAACCATAGGCTGTGAAACCAGTACTCAGTCCACTTCTAAATCAAGAGCGAAATTGCCAATGTATCCTCCCCCCCCCCCCCATATACACATTACTAGATCTTACTAGATCCACTCAGAGAGCCAGGGATTCCCATCAACCCCAGCTACTCAACATACACTACAGCAGCCCTCAAGTAAGAACTGCAAAACCTTCCAACCTAATAATCATGATGTTAAGGCCCTTTCAAATTAAAAATAAAACACAAAGAAATTAATCACATATCTGCTGTTTTTAATACAAGTTCAGACCTCTCTAAATCAGGGTGTGAAGAAGTATATAAATACCTTAGAGCCTAAAAATGTCACCAGTGGCCTTTCATTAAACCACAAATTTTGTATCTACTAATGGGCAACCCTTGTGTTAACATGTTTGGACCTTATTCGCATAGTGCTCCTGATGACAAGTTCTGACAGGACCCTAACAGTGTGGTGTGACTAGGAATAAGATTAACCTAATGAATAATGAAACTCTTTCCTTATAGGGTTAAGGGATGTGTGTTTGTGTGTGTGTGTGTATGGGGGTGGGGTTAATTTTATTACCTACTGTGTGCATTGGTACAGATGCGTGTCTGTGGCAATGGAGGTCAGGGGACAACCTGGTGGAGACAGCAGTTTTCTCTTTACTGAGGGCTCAGGGGCTCGAACACCGATCATCGGATTTGCACAGCATACACTTTTACCCACAACGCCATCTTGCCAGCCCTTGGATCCAGACCTCTCATGGATCCAAGATACAAAATGCTAATTGTTGAAACCATATACCACACGTTTGTGTGCTATTTCAGAGTGTTCTCATGCATAATATTATTTTGTTAAAGCCTCAGGTGGAGAGAGAACATAAACTACCTCCATCTAAATAAAGCATAAGCTCAAAGAACTAAGCAATTTGCCAGCAAGAATTCAAATAGAAGTCTTCTAACCCCCGACGGGCCTTTCCATCCCAGCACTCTGCAGGCAGAGGGAGCTCTATGAGAGAGCCTAGGCTCCATAAAGAGAACAGTCTTAAACAACAAAAACAAAAAATCTTCTAACTTCTGCTCATTCTGAGGCTTCAGGGTAAACCTACAGGGAAACTAGCAATTGGATTCCATCTCCAAAGGTCATCTGTGTGTTTCTAAAATCAATAGTAACTTTAACTAATTATCTTAGCTTGGGCTATCTGAATTGATTAACACCGTAAAACGAAACATGAATGTTCTCCAAGTAACGTTTGGTAAACTTTAGGTGAGGGGCCACGTGCCTTCTAGGGAATCTGTAACCACCTTGAAGACATGTCTTGCTTTTAGAGGGAGGCAAAAAGAAAGGGCCGAAGAGTGTGTTCCTATCCCACGGGAGTCCCCCATTTCGGACCTAAGAGTAGGCCATCTGGCACAAGCAATGCATCGATGTGGCGTTCAGACGGCAGGGCAGACACTTCACTCATCTGTAATTCGTTCACCTAGTATTCTGGATCGCTTCCTTGGCGTCTCCGGAGTGGATACATGGGTTATTAATGGCACCTCCGCATTCATCTGTAAGCTCCACAGCAGACATCTCAGCCGACAAGGAGTGATGCAGTTACAGACTCAAGGCACATCTGCCCTGCGGTGACCCAACACGAACGTATCCGGGTCCCCTGCGTGCGCTGTGCGTAAGAGATAGAAAGCCAGGGAAGACGCAGTGCGCACACTCAGGATCCAGGCTCCTTAGGCGGAGACGGGATGTACCGATAATAAAAAGTATAATAAAAAATTCATCCGCTTAGGATAAAAAAACTAAATTGTATAGACAGCGCATACCCTAGACAGTCAGCATGTACTCGATCCCTTACTTCCACACACACACTCTCTCTCTCACACTTTCTCTCCTCTCTCTCTGTTTTATTTGTTTATAGACTTATTTATTATTTTATGTGTATGGCTGTTTTGTCTGTGTGTATGTCTGCATACCAGAAGAGGGCATGGACTACAGTTATAGCCAGTCGGAAGCTACCATGTAGGTGCCAGCAGGAATAAACCTGGGTACCTCTGGAAGAACAGCCAGCGCCATTAATCACTGAACCGTCTCTCCAGTTCCCCATGTTCTGTGTGTGAAAGATCATCAATTTGTATTTACAAACTACTCCCTAATTCAAGTATAACTTCTGCATCATTTTGATGACAGCGTGCCATAAATGCAGTCTAGAACTAGGAATGCCTCAAAGGGAATCTGGCTTTCTCGGCCTTACCTGCTATGACTCCTGAATACCAACAAAAATCCACAGAGAAAGCAAGGCGATTCCAGTTATTCCACTTTACGAAGCATCCTTCACGTTGTGGAGTATATCTTTCCGACTTTTGTGCATCAAATGTTCTTCTTTCAGGGAAGGGTAATGCTAACAGCTGTCTGTCTGTATTGGCAATCTTGTACAATCCCTTTCTCTATTCCTTATTTTATTGGTTTGTAAAACTACCAAGCTTCCAAGGGCCATAATTTTCATAGCCAGTAGGAGGCTCCACGTAGGAATGCCCCATTTTCTCTGTTAGGAGAAAATGCCTTTTCCCAGAGGGAAGGTACCCTGGAGTCAGCCCCAGGCCACACCTTCAGTTATCTGCTTAGTCATCCTCAAAAGGCAGGAGCACATTCCAGTCATGGAATGTCAGATATCCCAAACCAATTTTCTCTAACTCGATGATGACTTTAAACATTGCTAAGACAGTCCTAAATTCTCTTGACATTTAAACAAACAAGAAGAACCCAACTTCTTACTCTTGAGCCATAACATACTTCTATGGGTATAAAAGCGTTTTTGTTTCATTTAGGGATTTTGAACATTTTCAGAAATGGCCAGAAAACCCCAAAGTCAAGGCTATGGCTCCTCTTGAAGTAGGTGAGCGATTTCCCAAATGCAGTGGTGTTCCAAAGCGGTTTCAAATTCCCACGGTCCAATATGTGTTCAACAACTTAGATTCAATATGTATTCAATAAGTAACTGGATGTAGATGTGATCTCATGACATTTCTAGATACTG